TGACCCAGATTTGAACCAGTACCTGGCCACATGGCTTCCCACACTGCCAGAAAGCTAGACTGCCCCACCAGGAAAGGCCTCCACATTTACTGATCACATGTGTATATAACTATCTCCCTTTTCAACTTACACAAAAATACGCTTTCTAGATGGAGCAATACTATAGGTAAAATGAATCCATACAAATAACAGCAATATAGAGAAGCCTAGTTTTATACTTTTGGAGCATGGTTTAAGTTTTTACATTTTCTAAGCTATAATAAAAAAGGTAAGAAACTGAAAAGAAACATTTGACAGTGGTGACAACATAAAAATTGAAAATTCCAGCAAAATTCAAAAGAAAAAGAAAAGCAATGTTAAAAGGAAACTAAAAGACAAATGACAAGCTATAGAAGATACTTCCAGCATGCATGATAATCCGAAGGTACTAAGTCAAAAGCACAGATAAGGAATACCCCCTATCACACACAAAACTCAAAGAGCTAATGACTATGTTCAGAGACAGTCCACTAGGGGCCAGAGATGTACATTAACACAATTAAAGCACTGCCAAGGATAAAGACTCACGCAAGCTGGGGTAAAGAGGTTAAAAGCAACAGGAGGACCCACAGCCCATGCACTCACTTTCCACAGGGTGCTTTGACAACATGTGCATGCATCAAAACCTAGAATATGCTCCATTAACCCAGCAATGACATAACCAGACATTCCCCTCAGACAATCACAGCACAAATGCAAAAAAATAATAACTAAAAAGTGAAAGTGCAAGCTCAAGACTGTTCCCCTGACGAGCGATTTTTAACTACGGTGGACAATTTAAAACAACCTTAAATGTCCACCACTGGAGACCACAAAGTCAAACGCATGGACCTTGCATACAGCGAGGGCAATCAACATTTACGGAGTGTTTCAGGTCCAGGCACGAAAGCACAAGCCCTGGAACCAGTTGGCCTGGCTCATGACCAGCTCCTCCATTCACGCACGGGCTGTGTGATGGAAGCAAACTGGGGAACCTCTGTGCCTCAGTTTCCTCTTCTATCAACTGCAACTAACAATAGCGTCTACCTCTTAAGGTTGCTAGCAGAATTAAGAGTGCTATTAGTTGCAAAGCACTGAGAACAGTATCTGTAATATTAAAAGTGTTAGAAAACAGCTTGTTAAATAAAAAATACTGTCATGAAAATTTATCTGCTGCATTAGTGAATGAAAAAAGATCACAGAAAATGATGTATGCTCTCATTTCCGAAAACGCTCACGAATACACACAAGAAGGAAAAAGGTCTCCTCTTTGCCATGGTAACAGCCATATGCCTGGGCAGTATCATTCTGGATTATTTTTGCTTTCTCCTTGTATTTTCTGTATCATTAGAGATACTTTTTCAAAACAATACCCAATAGGTACTCTTAGACGCTTTGGGAATCTAAGTTGGTATGAGGTTTCTGGGAAGAAATTTGGCAATCTGCAATAACACTTTCTGATCCAGGAGTCCTACTTCTAAGAATTATGAAATAATAAAAATAATAAGTCTATAAATATGTAAATAAACACACACATAAACATATACATACACCCATATACACATATGGGAATATTTCTTAATGCAATAATTTTATAGGAAAATACAGATGATAATCTAAATTTTCATTGATCATACCACAGTTGGTACAAACAATGTAATACTACACCGCATTGAAAAATGATGACACAGAGCCACAGGGAAGATCGTTTTGGCGATGGCCTTAAGCAAGAGAGCGAGAAAACTGTGCACTCTACTGTGAAGGGGAACTGCAGGACTGTGTTGGAGCGAGAACCCTGAAGGCAATGCATGCCAGGGGCATCTACAGACCCAAACTAAACTCCTCCAGCCGACTCGATATGCGATCCAGGACCTAGGTCTGCAGGAAGACGAAGCAGAAGGTGTGGTGCTCTGAAAGCAAAGAATCCCAAAGCCAACTGACGGCGTGGTGGTTACGATGGCTGGATCCCACACGGCCGAATGTGTGGTCTGAGTCCTGGACCTCGTGGTTTAAGAAACATACAGGGAGGACTAGCAGATGGCATAAAGGCTACATCGCTGGACTCCCATGTAGTCGACCGCAGTTTGAGTCCCGGATCCAGTGGCTTAAACTCACGCCGGGCACATGTGCATGCTTGCCCAAGATCACAAGAAAGAAGAATGGAGGAGAAGGGATTGCGGAGTGGCCATCCCCCCGGAGAGGTGATTTCTCGCTTTCTGTGTCTCTCTGTCTTTCTCTGTCTCTTTAGTGAGTGCACATGCCCTATAGCAAAAACCTTTCAAAAAGAAAGAAAGAAAAGAAACATACAGGGTGTGTGTGTGTGTGTGTGTGTGTGTGCGCCCCAAAATCCCGAAAATGTAGAAGGGAATGCTGTGCCCATCCCCCTTTGGAGGTGCTTCTTGCTTTCTGTTTCTCTCTTTCCCCTACCCCCCATGAGAACACATGTCCTATAGCAAATGTAAAGACAGAAAAAAAGAAAGAGCAGGATCCCTGATTTCCAGCAACAACTGTGCAGGAAGTCCAAGATTGTCCTGCCTCAAAGGGAGCCTGAAGAACAGTGAAATTCTCAAAAGGACAGCACTGAATGATCTGAGAGAAGTGGACTCTCCGAAGGACACAGGCAGAAACTCTAGCCTTGATGGCTAGAGCTGGCCCCTCTGAAGAACACACAACAATCACTAACCATGCCAGAAAAAATGTGTGTGCCCGTGTCTGTGTGTGCACATGACAGCGAGAGGGAAGAGGAGAATTAGACGAAGGAGTGAGGGAGAGGGACAAAGAGAGAGACTCTCCGACCCGAAAGCAGTGACTACAAATCCAGGAAATCAGAGCTCCAGGTTTAAGGGAGGTATGTCCTCTTCCTTCCTCCCTCGACCACCTCACTTCACAGATTGTCTTTATTTGCCAAAAGGATTTGGGCTTCTGAAGCAGGATGCTCACTTCTCTGAGTCACGGCACTCTCTGCCCACACCTCCCACAGCAACAACCCCGTGTGGGGACAGCTGCCGGCCCTGCCTTGTCCGCATCCTCGCGTTGTCTGCATCAGCCCAGCAGCCGAGTGAAGTTCATGTAGTCACCCTGAGAGTTTTACAATGTCTCGTGTTGCCTACAGCTTGCCCAGATGTTGGCGATGACCCTTGGCCACCAACCTAGAGGTCTGATAGACAGCAGTTGATGAATTACTCAATAATTCACCCAATCTGTGTTAGAATTTTGTACACCAAAGGCCTTGCATCATTGTAAGGAAGCATTTATAGTAAAGCATTTAAGAATGGAGGTTTGGAGTAGGATGGCCTGATTCAAAGGTCAGGTTTCCTTACTAACCTGGTCAAATGGCTAATCTCTCCATGTCTAAGTGCCCCTATCTGTAAAGCAGGGCAGATGGCACTGGCACCGTGTCCACATGGCCGTGAACAGCTACGAGTAAGAGTTAACATTTACTGGGTGCTTTTGACATTCCAGGTACTATTCTAAGCACTTTACATTTAAGTCCTGTCTCATTTAGCCCTCCAAGGAACCATGTGAAACAGTACTGCTTTTACTATTTCACAGACGAGCAAACTGAGGCAGAACAAAGTTCCTCAGTGCTAGAGCTGGGACTCAAACCCAGACGGCCATTTTCCAGAGCCGACATTCTTAACCACAACTGTCTCCCATTAACATGATTAGCACAGGGCCAGTGAGAACTTAAACATGAGGGGCGGTTGGGAGATTTCCAACATGGTGCCGAGGACCCAACAACAGCACCAGAACCCTCGCTGCGTCACCCAGAGAAGGCCACCTGCAGGCGAGCCGCACCGGAGCACATCC